AGACTAATTCAAATTCAGTTTTCAAAAGCATTTATTCAAGTTACAATTCAGATTCAATCTGAGCAATTCAAATTCAAATTTAACTTCAAATTCAGTTTCTGATGGCACAGATTTCTGCCCATACTCAAGTAATAAGAGAAATTATGAAGTCTAATATGTATATACAAGGTCTGAATGATGTCAGTTAGTGTGGTGTGGGCTAGGCTCATTTCCCAGTCCATTGTGATTGCATGTGGATGACGATCGATACCTCCTCTCACAGGCATAACTAACTGACTTCATCCATAGCTGAGCATGTGCATCAATCCATAGGTGGCACATAGTTGTGGTGACTGATGTATTTGGGTAAATGAATTGGAGTGAGTGTTTTCAAATGGTTGAAGAAAAAACCCCTTCAGTCAAAATGCTGCCTTCATCTTTGCATTCGTCCCTGCTTAAGATGTAAAAGGAGGATGGAGCTGCGGACGCTGGGAGCTTTTTCCTTTTAACCACCATAAAAGTAAACAGCTTTGCTCTAAATAATGTTTGCCTATGTGTTCTCAGCACCATACTGTATCTTACATTCATGGATAATCCCTTTCACTTTCTCGTTCTTAAACAAAAATATATGGTTTTATTTTCTCCTTTTTACATAGCTTGACTATACTTCAGTGTTGTAGTGTTGTCACAGCTTTACGCCTCTGAAAACTATTCATATTTATTATCTTTAAATAATTTATATTAGTAATAATGAGGCATTTGCAATAGATAAGAATGAGATTAGAAAATTTCTTCCAATCCACCCTGGAAGGCTGCTCTTCATTTAGAGAGGAGGTGAACCCTTAGCTGGGCACAGATGTCAAGCCAGCTGTAGAAATACTCTTGCTCAAGACTTTTTATTCAAGCACATGCACACTCTGGTCACCTTCCTTCATGGTTTGGTGGGTATTCATTCAATCAGACCACCTTCCCTCTTCCAAACACACACACATAGTCATTCACACTGTACACATTAGCATGTCTCACCCCAGCAATTAAACCCAGCCTACTATAACATATAGGCAAAGCTTGGTCATTAACAACTGATTAAAATATGCTTACATGAATTAATACAAGCAGTTACATATCAATGTGAGAATCAGTATTTTATTAATTATTTTAATTGAGACAACAGGTTGGGTCATTAGATATATGGTCAAATATATGAGATTAAAATTATATCTAATGGATAAAATTGTCAACTGTCATGTAGTCCAATTTTTATGCCTATTTATAATCACTGTATTCAGTTCTGTCTGAGTAGTCTCGCAAGCAGAATCTGATCAGTGAAGGATAAAGGTGTGTGAGAGTTTGGTGAATCATTAAACAATATATGAAACCCTCTTCACAGCTCACATCTTGGACTTTGATGGACAGTGTCTGGTTTTTAAACCTGCTGGAATAAGACCACATATGACATTAAGTCAGGTGCAGCATGAAAAGGAGCAGCTAGGATGGAGGTTGGTTGCAAAGCAGCTTGCAGATGCACAGCAACTGTAGACAGCCCAAAGCAGTTTAATAGCATGTTTCTATACATTTATTCAAGGTGTGACAATTGGATGTGTAAAAGGGTATTAGCTTAGCTAATGTTGGCTTTGGTGAGATCAGCTGTTCTATAGGGATTGAGACTGAGTTACACTTTGTGGTTTGCCACAAGTTAACACTATGGCATTTATCCACCTATCAGTCTGACGTCATTAGCCGTTTCTGGATCCAAACTCCTCGTCAGGTCCCAAAGTGAAACAAACACTGCAGTATCACTGAGAGTTACAAAGTGTCTAAATTCTTTAATCTTTAATAAAATGATCAGTGTGGCTGCTCTACCAGGTGAGTTTAACATCCAGGCATCCATGAGAAAGGGAATTTGTGAAATTTAACTGATTAATAAGTTTGCAGGGAGTTAGCTTGCTAGTTTCCATTTTAAGATAATATAACATATTCTGACTGAGGGATTTCTGTAAAAATTAAAACATACAGCTCTGCTATTATATAAACACATTAGCTTAGTGAAAGCTGGAGGATGAACGCTAACTTGATAAAAATTAACATGAGGGTTCTCGATGGTTAGGGACAAATGCAGAGTAATTTGGACCCGGAAGCAGGGTTCATACGCATCACTTAAAGATAATAGATAAGGAAATTTCTCCCCAATTCTGCTCCATAAGTAGCATTAAATGCAGGTATAATGCCCAGGCTCAAAATGGTAGCAGGATCTGGCAAATCTGTCATATCAATCACACTGTAACTGCTGAAGAGCAGCATCTTCCTGAACTGACTGTGGTGAAAGTGAGGATGAATGGACAGCAATTTGACCAACTGCAGGAGAGATGACAGCTCACAGCGAGGCAGACAGCTGCTTAGCCACTGAGTCCTAACCTCTGTCTTTTTCTTTGGCTGTCTTTCTACTGCTCTCTTTCTGCTCATCTGTTTGTTCCTTGCATCACCAAATCATGACTGCTCTCCTTGTTCCCGTTTTATCACACATTTGATTCCTATACTTAAAAAATATCTCCTGAAGAGGCATCATTGATTCAGTCTACAACCCTTCGAGGCATCCCTCTCCCATTCCTTTCCTCTATTCATCAGTATCTTTTCCTCTTCCTTTTCATCCCTCCTTTCATTTCCACACTTCCTTCCACTCCCATTCTCCCTCATCCTTCTTTCCTTCCTTCTTTCCTTCCTTCATCTCCTTCTTAAAACCTCAAACTCGCAGAGAGGATGTAGTGAGGCGAGACCTCGGCGTCGATGGGAAAAAAAAAGGGAGAGACCATCAGCTCGCAGACGGAGGGATGCAGAAAAGGTATAGGTTGGAAGGTAGTAGTATAGGCCTTCTAAGTCCTCCCTCCCCCCTCCCCTCCCTCTGTGCATCCCATCAGCCCCCCCCCCCCCCTTTTTCCTGTGCCAGGGTGGTATGACCTGCTGGATTACAAAACAGCCCTCCCATGTGTCTGCCTGTTCTCTGTGCCAGCCGAGAGACAAGCGATACCAAGCTCCTGGAGCACTGATGAGGGCGACAGAGAGGAGGAGAAGAAGAGCGGGGGGGAAAAAGAAGGAGATGAGTAAAGAAGAAAGTGAGTGAGAAAGTGAATAAAGAGTTTCCAAATGGAAAGTAGGAGAGTAAGAGAAAGATGAGGAGAAAGAAGAGGAACGTAGTAGAAAAAGAGGCAGGAAGTATGAAGATATAGCACGGGAAGATAAACGCTATAGAAACAAAAAAGAGTGTTCAGGAAGCAGAGGAGGGTGTTTTGAGTGATAGCGAACATACTGTAGATGAAAGCTGTCGGAGGAGTGGGACGCTGAGAAGCGTCAGCATTGTCAGAGCATGTTCAGCCCTCAGGGACAGCCAGGGGTAAGTCACACACTACTCTGCTGCACATGCATGCATTCGATATCCACCGCTCTACACGCACGCACACACACACACACACACACACACACACACACACACACACACACACACACACACTTTCACTCAGGCGTTTACACACTACAGCATCTCAGTGTATGGATATGCCCCTTTCGGAAAGGTCTAAAGGCTACATTTCATACCTAGTGGACACTTGACAATCTTTCAACAAAGTCTTAAATGCTGTTCCAGTCAGGTTAAACGGTTTTCCAGTCGGTAGGAACATTCTCCTGATGTGGCCAGCCCTGCAGGTTAGAAGCTTTATTGCACGTTTAACGAAGGAAGATCTCACAGACCTGAAAGGTACCAACTTCTGCACGCAAAATCAACTGTGACAGTGTTTAACGGACATTAACGATGCCTCCATTTGTGATCTGTACTTTTCTTTGTCTTTGTTAGGATACTGTAGCATGTTATCACATAATAGGATTGATCAAGTGCGGAGTCATCAGGGGACAATGGTGTAGAGAGAGTGAGGGGAGCTTTGGCTGCATGGAATCAATTTCATATGATGTCTGACAGGCTGTCATGGAATCATTATGCAACCCCCCCGACACAAAGAGATGCTTTAAAAAGCTGTGTGTGTGTGTGTGTTTGGATTGTAGTTGTAGTGCACTTACACATTCCTGTAGCACACAATCAACCTGTCATTTGAGCTCAGTTTCAAAATAAGCAAGACCCAAACCAGGTTACAGAAGCCATTTAGAAATTTTTCTGGATGGGAGAGTAATCATGGGTAGAGTTTTTTATGTGAGAGAGGCTTGCCAGTTCTAAGGAGTTGTTAGGCTGATAGTTAGCAGCACTGGACATCAAATTGATTCCTATGCTAGCAGGCAATGGGTCACTAAACCCAGTGGAACTGAAGGATAGAGTGGGTTTTATTGTCTGAATGAGTCCTTGGATTGAGTTGCTTTAACCCCCTGGGGTGGAGGAATTACAGGAAAGGAGGAGGAGAGGGCTGGTGCTCTCAGTGTTGCTGGGCGCTCCGCAGCAGCAGCCATATTAGCTCAGTTACAGGCCTCGGGAGGACAGCTGGGTGGCAGAGGTCGTCATGGTGAAAGGGGATGGGGGGGGAGGCGTCATGGTAAGTGGTTGTCATGGAGACTGTGCATGTGCTTCTGATGAAGTTGAGTGGGTGGGGACCCTGTGGACGAGGCTCACCTGGTCTAGTGAGATCATTATGATTGTTTTCTACCTGGAGCAGTTTTCTTTTTTCATTATTCACAATGTAACCATTCACATTGCTATTTGGTTTAGTATCTCTGAAAGTCTTAATACTTAATGTTTATTATTTATTCACCAAGAGTAAAAGAAACAGCTGTTAACATGGCAGGACTGGAGAGACAAGGCGGGGTCAGTGGTTTTTTGTCTAAGCTCTGGAAACAAGCTTGCAGCTTGTGTTGATATTGACAGAGTATCAACACAGCTCTGACACCGTGTGCTTCATTCATTAATCCACAGATAAATTCAGCCTTGCACATGCTCAGAGCTGCTGGTGTCAGATGCATTCAGAAAGCTGTTTTAAACAAAAAAGTTTTTTTTAAAAACCCCGCAAGGTCTTTTCATTGTTTAAACTGAGCTGAGTGTCAATTCTGGTGAAGTAAAATATCTCAAAGATGTTTAAATGATCGTGTTCGTGGGCTTGGGATCTCCTTGTTTGCATTGAATGGCACAGAGAGGAGTACACAGAGCTGGGTAGCTCATTACTATGCCAAGATAGAGCAGGTACTGTACATGTGGCACCAGCCCACCCTGCCTCATCCGCCGCCCTCCCCCACAGGTTCCGTTTATCTAAGCTGATATCACACGCGCAAAAACATATTTTTTCTCTTATCCTGTTTTCTTTTTCATACTCTATCATAGTACGATCAGTTTACACCCCCACCCCCATCCCCCCATATATCTAAAAGCTTCTTTTATGTGCTAATAATTGCCCAAAGCATTGATACTGATAGCTTATGAGTTTGTATATTTGGCCAGCTTTTATGCCATGAAGCCTCTGTGCTCTCACATGCCAGCGAGCACAAGCGAGAGATAATTTGGATATCTGAAATACACGGAGCAGTTGCTGTATGCAGCGGTGTACTGCAAACCCCCTCCACTCCTCTGTGAATCACACAAACACTTATTGGAAAACGTTTGAATATTTCTCATTAATTCCTATTGTTTCCCTGCTTTGTCATGACAGGTGTTTGGAACCAGAGCGGAGCTCCAAGCTGGTTTAAAAACGTTGCATTTCTATTATAAAATCCAATAAAAAATTAATCCATACCAAGCATTTATATTAAAAAAAATCTGATTAGTTTTGTATGTTTTATTTGATCCGATCTGCACTAATTCAGTCTGCTTGTCTCGCTGACTGTTTGGTCATCCTTGTGCTCTCTTGTCAAGAGGCTGTGAGGTGGCAGCCTCGGTGGCCAGGCCATCTCAGAGAATACAGCGGTGTCATCATACACGGGGAAACTTGTATTTCACTGAGACTGGCCACTGACCCTGCTGCTGTGTGTGTGTGTATTTGTGTGTGTCAGTGAGATGGCCTCTGAAGGAAAAGGAGTGGGTATCCATAAACTGTGCTTGAGTGAGGGGCCTTGGGTGTGGCATTCACTGACTGAATGCCTTTGTGCCATTGAAGCTGAGAAAACACAGACCATCATAGAAGCTCTCACATACTCATACATTATTTTAAAGTGCTGCTTGATTATGGTCGCAATTAAAGGCTGTAATATATTTATAATGTTTTTCAGTCTATCAAAGAAGTTCCTGACATTTAACAGTAAATACAGTAAAGTTTTCTGATGTTAATAAATACTATTTATTTAAAACATTTTTACACATTACATATAAACGCCTGCAGGTGAAATGTCTGTGTGACAAACTTTAACTCTTCATGGCTCCAAAGTCAGATCTCATTGTGTTCACATTAAATCCCAGACAGTAGACAAGTGCTTCTGCACTGCTCTCTACAGGTGAAAACACATTATGAAGGAATAACACAAAACTGAAGAAATATACTGATGAAATCTCACTGCTCACTGGATTTCACCTGCATGTGATCTTTAACAAAAAGGTAATATATGTATGTTAAGTGAAAGAGTACCTACTAGTTAGTAGAAGGAAAATTACAACTATATAAAACAGACAATGGTACACATGGGTCAAGTTTCCTTGAGAACAAACTAACATTTGTATCTGTAGTAGAGCGAGCAATAATTATCATATATAAGCTGCACTAAGTGAACTTTGTGAAAATGGCAACTCAAATCCTCTACTCCACTTCATTCCCATTCACATCCTTGTCCATAGTTTTGTTTTGTTTTTGTTTCTTTACCATAAACCCAATTCCTACTAATACGTATTTGTTATTTCAAATGTATATAACAAGCTTGACCTAAAAAGAAATAGTAAGACATAAGAAAATGCTAAAACATACAGAAAATATGGATATGAAATGTAAGCCTTTTTAAAATAGTAAAAATGTTCATTCATTCTTAATGTTTCCATCATTTGCAGAAAATACCTGCAAGAAAAAGTAGTGAAAATTACCAACAGGTAGGTGTAAGTTCTGTACAGTTAACAGAGTAGAAGGCACATCAGACAACGCTTACTTGAGAATGCATGTGTATTCGTGCATGTTGCTGAAATCCTTTGTTCTCCATCACAGAGTCGATAACAAAGACACTTACCCACAAATCCAATTAGAGTTTTTTTTAAATGGGTGTTTCAACACATCTGTACTTGCAGACATGTTGCAAAATTGTCTAAATTTCACTTTCACTGCAGAGTTAATAATTACAAATGTGACTTCATTTGCACCCTTTTATTTTATTTAATTACACTTCATTTGAAAACTTGTTTAACAAAGCTGCTGAGGAAAGTACAAAGGCTTATCAGATAGGAAGTTAATTAATTTCATCTTATAATTAAAAAAAAAAAATCAAGCCAAAGCAAAAACACGATTTACAAACTTCAGCAGGTGTGTTCTGATTTATTTTAAATAAAAACCATGAAAAAAAAAACATAATGCACTTTGGTGCTGGATCAACACAGTATGGTGTGTTCATGGGAGAGCAGAGTGTCTTTTCTTGCATGTGTGTGTGTGTTTTTCTAATTAGTAAGACAGATTGTAAATGTTGCTTGGATAAAATCCTGACCCTCACAACCTGTCTTGTTTCCACAGCAGTGCTGCCTGCTACAAATGCAGCCGGTATGCAGATCAGAACAGGAAGCCAGCTCGGCTTTTTGTCACACACAACCACTTTGCTAAAAGGTAGCCGTCTGCTGTTTTTAAGATTTACGTCTATAAGATTTACACCATGTCTGCACATTCAAAAAATACAGACGGCTAAGTTGACGACTTGGCTGGACCAAAAGCCTCGATCAGCAGGATATAAACCACAATGGCTCGGTTCAGACCAGTACTATCACACCAAACTGCCATATCTTAGAACATTAATTAGCTGTCTATCTTTTTTATAAAGGCCTAGAAAATAGCTGAGCTGTGTTAGGGCTTGGACCACCATTCTTTTAGTAACCCTCATTCTCTGTGAAAACACTCCACTCTGCTTCCTGCTCCTCTCCCTTTAAAATGCCAAAGTTGGCCCAGCGGACTTTAATTCCTTAACGCTTCCTCATTAGCCCTGTGTTAAAACATCAGCAGCTTCCTATCCTTGTAATGGCACCATTACATCCATCAATAATGCAGTGGGGGTAAGTACAGGTAGCTTTACTGCCCCTCAGGACTAATAGAACGGACACGAGAGCAGTTTCCTCGCCCAAGTGGCCTCGCCAAACAAGGGTTTGTAAGGGTGTGTGTTTGTTTATCCTCACCCATAATGCCTTTAGTGGATAACACACAAATACGCGCTTATGTAGTCACATGTTACACAGTGTGTACGTGCGAGGAAAACACACATCCTACATTGCTGTATCACAGCAGGGTGCAA